TTAAATGCTTAACCTCGCAAATCTAGTAATTCCAATCACACGATCTTCTCTCAAACCACATTAAAACCATATTTAACGATAGCCTTAATTAAGAGCCACATTGAATCGGCCATAGAATAATATTGTCATGTAAAATCAAATATTGGACATTTGGGACTCATGCATTTCGATCCACTTTATTGGTTCAGCGGCATTACAAATCCGCATTAAATCCTGCAAATGTCTTCGCGTTTCGGTGGGTATAAAATTATTTTATGTGTTCTTTTAACATTTACTGCGGCGCGGTCAAAAGTAAGTAAGAAAAGTACATTAAAGTAGTTTGATTTTAAAATAAAAAAAAAATTGATTATTTGCCGTCCTTCGCATCCTAAAATAAACGCAGCTCATGCTAACGACATCAGCGTCGACCTGAAACACATAAGTATAATGGCATCGGACCGTCTTAATTAAAATGAATTCATTTTGGGTCGATCCTGAATACACAAATTGAGCAATGTTCATCGAAATTAAGCTATTCAAGAAGCGATTAAGCAAATCGAAGTTTTGTTAAAAAGGACACTGATTCCTCGAAGGCTATTAATGACGGACGCCGAGCGAGCGAGAAGGACTAAATTTAGTTTGGCACTTAAATGAGCCGATTATAAGAAATAACGGTGCATTAGCTGAAAAACTAGCTCAATAAGTAATCGAAAAGAACTCGGAAAATTAATCGCTCTCGCACAGTTTTTGTATTTGATTTTGGAGAACAAAGTTTTGTAAGAATCAAACATAAAGAAAATTTTTCACGAGGAAAAACAGTTTTTTCTTTCAATTTCTTGATTACCATTTTCTCTAACACACATTTTCCGCCCACATTACAAACAATAATATAATGATATTATAATAAATAATAAAAAATTATCTTCTCATTACGCCGCATTTGTTATTTGTTAATTTGATTAATGGTTTTCTTAAGTATCTAATCAATTCATGATGCTCTATTGATGTATGAAATATTTTCATTTATGTTTTCATCAATGCGTATACTGAGTATCGCGTTCAGGCTGACGCAGCCTACACCGATCTCGTAAGGCTATTGATTTTATCGACCATTAGGTGCTGCTAGTTCAACTGGCTGAGGTTGGTATTGTTGGAATGGTTTAAGTCGTATCTGACGGCTATAAAATTTAAAGTCCATATGGTCAAATCCCGGACATACACCTTGCCACCACTTTGCTCCCTCAAGGTTCCCATTTATGACCTTTGTTTTTTTATGGTTTACATTAATGATGCAGTAAAATTTCAGTATAAGGTGGCTTTTACCTGATGAAAATTCAAACAAACAAAATAAATAAAAACTAAAAGTTCAGTTCAGTTCAGTTCTCACGAAATTATATATTTAATGAATTAATCAACAAAATTAAAGATATCAAAATCACTTCAACGCAACACTATTGTCTTTTGATGTACAAAACTTATTTCCCAGTATTCCACATATAGTAGATTTCACCTTAACTCGGAAACAGGTTAACCCATTGGTGATTTGAATTTGATGGACACATTTACATATCTAAGGAAGGCTTGATTATGGGAAACGCACTTAGTCCTTTGTTAGCCGAGATTTTTATGAATAATTTGGAAAATATCATACTAGAACATCCTTTAAGTAAAAGTTTTCTATGGTGGTATACATACGTGGATTATGTCTTTGCTTGCTTTGTTGGACAGACAATTGAATTATTTTTTAAATTACATTAACTCATTACATAATCGTATAAAATTAGATTTTTCCATTTACCATAAACCTTCACACATGGACACAGTCATACATAACAGCTCAAATCACCCTTGTATTTTGTGTATACATGTGTAAGCATTACTGCATTTCACTCATTTTTACACAGACTTCTTAATACGCCAATCTCAACAAAGAACTTAATATCATTAAACAAATTTAAAACAATTTAAAACGATAACATACATAGGAGAACCCAGTGAAAAAGTTTCAAAACATTTTTCAAAATGTGGTTTTAAAGTAGCTTTCAGAACTAACAACAAAATAGGAAAATTTTTAAAAAACAATACAACGATATATCTAAAATCTCAAAACTCAGGTGTTTACAGGTTGAAATGCGGATGTTGTCCTAAAATTTATATTGGACAAACAGCTAGATCTCTCAAGAAACGCATTAACGAACATAAAAGGGCGTTTAAAAACAATAGTCTAGATTCTAATTATGCTACACACTTAAACACAGAAAAAACACATTTTTGACTATAATTCTGATACTTTACATACAGCCACAAAAAGTAGAAAATTAAATTTATTGTTAGCGGTGGAGATTAACAAAATGAGATATTCAAACGATCAATTAGATTTAAATACCTCTCCTTTATTGAACTTAAATTCTCGCAACAACATTAATTAATTTTTTATGGTCATTTTTCGGTATATATAGTAGCAGGTAGTTTGCAAATATTACATTTGATAAAGACACGGTGTTGTCGAAACAATTGCCATGTGAAAATATATAATTTCGTGAAAATCTGAACTTTTAGTTCTTATTTATAGAAAATTTTGTTTGTACGTAAAAAATTTCAGACAAATTACTTTAACTTCGGATTGCATAAAATTGCATTATAAACTCATTATTAACTCTTAACATTATAAAGTCTTAACATTGGATGATTCCTTAAAGCAGATATTCACTGTTAGACTTTTGGATCAACGCTTGTTATCTTATTCGAAATGTTTTCTTGACTTTACTTATTTAAAGTATACTACAAAATAATTTAATAAATAGAATAGTCTTATATTGTATTTGTCAATAAATAAATAGAATAGAATAAAAAAAAAGGAAGACAACCTTTTTTTACCCTCTCTATATATAAAACTGATGGATTTGTTACGTTTTTAAATTTGAACAATAATTTTTATTGTTTACTTTTTTTTTCTTTACTGGTTTCAATTCATCGCCTTTGTTTATTTATGTTCCTTCTGTTCCTCTTTTTTTGTATTGTTGTTAACTAAGCTTTGCGTGTTATTATATAATACTATTGTAATTTTTGAGAGGACACTATTGTTGGTTTAACCTGTTTGTTTCCCAAAGAACAAATAAATAAATAAAATAAATGGTATTTCGGCCCGTCTATAGGATTGGCAAAAAAACCACAGGATGAGTTTTTTTTACAAAATATATTAAAGAAATAATAATAATAATTTCCTATTTGTGTTATAAACATCAATAAATTGAATTGAATTGAATTTTTCCTCAAAATGTGATTCTGCTTATGTTTTATTAATTATTTATTGAGCAACAATCTATAGAGTTCCTAGAAATCAATGAAAAATAGACAACCGATATCGCGATGTAATCTTCTGAAAGCAAAAAGCTATCTCGAAAGTTTGCTAATACCAGCTCTATGCCTGTCCCCCAATTCAGCAAATCGATAACATTTATTCATAAAGTGTTACCCTCTTTCAGCTCGTCAGTTCACGAATTTTCTGAATACGGCTGAGAATGTTAATTAATAAATTATCCTTAATAAAATAGGTTATCGATGTTCCTTGAATTCTAAAAAATTATCTAATGATTTTCCCATGTTGAATCGTTTCTTAAAACATTCTTTATTTTCAAATTCGCCATAAAGATCCACATATTCCATATAAAATGTAAAAAATCCGATAGGACAAAATTCCAATTAGGAAATGAAGTTGCCTTGCATTGTGTACGCCGTAATGAAGTACAAATTTGGCTTATACTAAATGATTACCCAAATGTGTTGAAATGAGATGGAGTTGTATCGAAAGGGTTCAAGGAATTTCTAACGTTCGACTGGAATTCGGTATTCCCCCTCGAAGTCCTGCCTGTTCCAGATTCCTGTTTAGTGCCCGAGTTGGATTGTTCAAAAATTGTCCGGTTGTATGTAGCGCGGTTGCTAAATTAACCTGCTTAAATTGATTATCTCAAATTAAAATTGATAATTACATAATTTTGTGTGGCCATTTCCGCAATTACATTTTTTAACCCACGTTTATAAGGAACTTCCTTTTAATTCGTAATCTTTCTTATCATTTTTAGGCATGTCTTTAATAATCATAAGTATTCAGAATGTCAATATATCCTAAAAAGTATTTCCTTAAACTAGGGATCAGTTGTGGTAAATTTTTGAAGTTTGAAGTTTGAAGTTCAAAATATTTGCTCAGCTTAACTATCTCTACCCTAAGCCAAGAAAAACTAAACCAAAACATAGTAAAATTCTTGAGTAAAGTTTTTCCTTGGTTTAATGATATTAATGTACTTTGTTGAGTTAATTTTTAAAGTTCAAAAAAATATTCAGGTAACAATTATTGATTGAAGTGTAAAGAAGGGTAAAAATCAAAAATTTTTGATGGGAATATTCTTGAAAACTATCTCTGGAAAATTCTACTCCCACAGGAAGTGTTGCAATTATTCAGGGCATGTACAGTTTGCCCCTAAATCCGCGAAATAAACGATTTGATGATGAAATGTCGACTGATATTCCCGCTATCCTTTTGATTTGATTTATCTAATTATAATACTGATTATACCGTCATCGGGCCTAATGGACCAATTTCAAATAGATTTAGCTTCGACGTCTCCCTATTAGTCTACACGTACCCCCACCCTCTTCGAAAAAAAAAATTGAAATTTAAATAGGTAAAAAAACACAATATAAACTTATGGCGTTTTTTTAGAGTGAAAAGTAGAGCAAACCTGTTTAGTTTTTTTTTTGTGATCGACGCAGTTTCTTTATTATTGATGGGTCGTTTGTTTGTTAAATATAATATTAAAGCCGGTCGCCACAAATGGCGTGTCAAAACAGGCTAATATCAGGACAATAGTGAGGACACAGGTGATCCTGAGCGACCGAGTGACCATCAGAACCGTTAGAATAAGGCGCCCCCACCCTCTGCTCTAACCCTGAGCAGGACTGCCTTGATCCTTTTACCACAGTGAGTCGGCAGTTGTACGTTAGCTCGCAGGACGTGCGCGCCATTCCTGCTTGCGAGTCCTGCGGTATATTCATCGCGCAATTCCACGTGTTTCCTGTAGGGCGGCTCGCTTTCATTTTATTTATTTATTTTTGATTTTTTTGGTCCCGCGACGGCGTTCGTATTTGTTGTGGTCTGTCGATTTAAAAAGTCTCTCTCGGTGAGGTGAGTCTTTTTTTTTGTGTTTGTCAACATTTCGCAGCGAACCGTCGAAAAGAAAGCTGGTTGTGCATTTTGTTTCTCCGGGTACTCCAAGAAATTAATTCTTACCCCCCCAACCCCCTATTTGTTCAGCCGTGTAAGAATCGCAGTTGGATCGTTATACAAAAAGCTGCGGATCGGCAAAAAAAGATTCGTTTCACTCATTTGGTTGCAGTTTTGAAACCTAAATTTTCATTTTCCATTAAGTTTGGATATTTGGACACTTTCAATTTATCAGTGATATAAAACTGGTTTGCTCAAACGTAGCTTTTTTTTAGAATATCACGTAACTTGGTTTTAGATGTCAGACATTCGTAAAGCTTCAAAAGTCAATTCTAATCGAGGAGATTTACTCGGAATTCATTGTATTATTTCATCTAACCGTATGGGGTTCTTTAATTTTTTCGATTAGTAAAATTGGTAGAACATTGTCTTCCGGTACTAATTTCGAAAATAACACTTTGAAAACGCTTGTAACAAACTGTCTGCATTTAGTGGTTTCTGGTTTACTTATTTGGTTATTAAAGTACTTACGAAGCTTCTTATTTGTTTCTACAAACGGAAAATATTGAAAATCATGGAAATAGTATTCCGAGTTTTTATTTAATGAAACCCGATGGATTGTCAATCGCGTTTGTTTTTTTCAGCTTAGGATTGGATTGCGAAATAGAAATATTGGAATTTATTTACATTGAAGTTCGTGCATTTAAATCAATAATTATTTTATTTGGATAAAATTTGGATAAGAGGGTTTGTCGTTATTATTAAAAAATTGCTTTTTTTTATTTTGTACTATTTTACCGATTTATTTAATGAAAAAAAGTTTTCTGGCTCTGAATGTAAATTTTATAGAACTAATGTGAAATTTAATTGTTAAATGCCATGCCTGTGTATGATTTACTAAAGCGAGTGAACGCCATCTATCGAACTGCAACAGTCAATGTAAATTTTTTGAGACAAATTTTGGAGGGTTAGAGTAATGGGGATTGCTTTCTTTGTCGTTTATTCCTGAAATGATTTCGTTATTCTTCCTTGAACTAAGTAATATATTTTGAGTATTTTAGGTGGTGATGATTTTTTTGTATCTAGAATACATACTAATAATTTCATGCTAGTGTTTATTAATAAACTTTTTTTTAAATTGTAAACTTTTGTGTTACATATTGCTCCAATAATGTATATATAACCGACAAACGAAATATGTATTTTTTGGTTAAGTGAAGCATTTGCATCTATGATTAGATTTTATTTTATAAACAAATAATAACAACATAACTTATAAATTTAGTCCTCACAAAAATTTAAATAGACAATTCAAATTATTTTACCTTTTTTGAAGAAGTAAAAAATATTAGCTAGATGTACATATTTATGAAAATGTGCATGTATTTCAATTTTTATTTGCTGACCAATTCATTTTCCAACAACTTTTTTTTAGATTTTAGAGAGACATAAGCTGTTATTTCAGTAACTGTATAATAAAATGAATAGGTAAATATATTTTACTTGTGAAATTTGCCTCACTTTTCTACGACGTTGTCGCCATTTTAGTTTAGATCGAATTCACTGCATAAACTAAAACACCTGTTATTTATCTTAATCATGTTTTCAAAGACAATTCGTCTAAAGTTTGATGCCGATGGTGCGGAGTTGTTTTTATTAGAATGCTTAAAAGTTTCCAATAATTTTCACAAATGCACATTAAAGGAGCATGCTTATCTCCATTTTGAAGTCAAAACTTGTTTTACCAAGTACATTCGCGGCCAAAAATTCCTTCTGCGAATTGCCCGTTTGTTTCTTTAAGTGTGTGTCGTTAGTCGACACATTTCCTTTACAGTAGCTGTCATTTCTGTATTTTAAAAATAATCCAAATAAAATGTTGTCACAAAATGTAAAGGAAAGGCAAGAAATTAATTAACTAATCGTAAATTAAATCAGTAAATATCTCCACTATGTGTGATAAAACAAGAAAAATTAAACACAAAAAAATGATAGACAAAGTTCTCTTAGTTCCCAATAAAAAATTATTTGTGAAAAATACGCGGACACTGGTTTTTATTTTCGAAGAAAATTTTTGTTATACATTTGGCTCCTTTAACAAGCATCCGTTCAAAAAAATAAAATCGCTAAAAATGTTTTAGGAGCAAACTTATCATGAATATCGAAAATATTGAAACCAAACATGGAATTAAAGGAAACAGGACTTTTATGAACCTGCAGGTGACTCCAACTGAAGAAATTTTAGTTGTTTTGGTTCCATATTTATATAAGATATTTTGTGATCTGTTCTGTATAGGTTGCTCTATTATATTTTGAACATACTTTTGTTTTACTTGGAAAATTGTCCTCAAAGGACACTTTCGCAAAATTAACTACTAACGAACTTATGAGTCGCCCTCGGTATTATTAAAACAAGGCGGACGTCTAGCATTACAAAGCACGAACCTTATCACACCAGGTCACGGGGAAAGGTTCCTATAAACAACCAGTTCGTTATTAACCTTTAGTAGTGCGAAGCTCTGGACTTTCTCATATGCCGTCGACCTTTTCCCAGCTTTGTATTTGTATTTCCTTCAACTACGCCCATTTTTTTGAGTATAAAAGCGGGGGTTCGATGGATTCGAAAAACTACACATACATTTAAAAAGTTTTTGTTTTCTATTTTTTTATTTTCTATTTTTTCCTAATATTAACGTATTAAGTTTACGCTAAATCAGTAGAGAAAGAAAATTTGCGAAGGAATCATCGGAAATCGTTAACGGTCAGTGTAAAGACGTTTAAAACGCACTGGCTTTGACTTGAAGTTGCAAAAAAAGTTAATATTAAACACAGTGTTCGAAGTGATTTCGGACTGCGAAATTGGTTCTATATCAAACAGGGTCGATCAAAAATAATGATGCCAACTAGATACAAAAATGGTAAAAAATGAATTTTTTGAAATGGAACGCCCTGTGTATTTTCGTGTGTTCTATTGGCTTTCGATTGAGGTGTTATATTCCTATACCTAAATCGTTTGCTTTTTGAAATAAAAGCAAGTTTCTCTGAAAACTGAAAACTTTGGCATGCTTCATGTTTTAGGTGGCCATGAGAGATCCGTCTTATAATAAATAATTAATTTTTCGTTTTTATCAGTAACATCGGTTCAAAATTGAAGGAGACCAGTATAGTGTTATTGAATTTGTTTGTTATTCATGGATAATGCAACCACCCAGTGCAGAAAATGTAATGAAACAAAGCCTGATTTAATACACATGAACCAGAGAAAATTTTCCAGAATTAAGAAAAACTTTAAAAAACATTTTACGAAAAACATTTTTAAAACTTTTTTCACTAACAAAATATTAGGCAATTAAAATAAAAATTTCCCCCAGAAAAATGAATTCAATCTTTACATCAGGTGTACATTACATTCTAAACACTTCGATAAATCTCTTTGTTCAAAGCATCATAAGTATAGATAAAAATCTAGTAGTGTGACATCGGGCGATCGTGCTGGCCAATCCCACTGGCCCAAACGAAACAAATGTTCATTAAATAATTGATTTAATTTTTGTGTGTAGTGAGCCGGTGTCCCATTTAGTTGGCACCAAAAGCTCGTAAATTCCTAAAGGCTCAGTTTATTGAGAAGATCGTTATAATATTATTAATATTTGAAGATGTTTTGCAGCATTCAGTGGGTTATCGTAAATTAAAAAACTTACTTTTATCTTGAAACAAGCAAAACACGGTTAAACTAAATTTACTTTGAAATCCCTTTTCTTTTGTGGTATTGGCAGTGTTCATTCTTTCGATTGAAAATACTCTCTTCACATTTTGCTTTATGAATTATGCCAAAGTAATCCAGTTTGGAGAGAAACTCGCTTTTATTTCAGAATCCGAAAGATTTAGGTGTAGAGGCATGGGACATAATTACGGAATTCAATTTGCTCTTAGAATATGTGTGGTTTGTTTTAAAAAATGCTCTTTTCACCATTTTTGTATCTGGTCGGCAAATTATTAGTTTTGACTAACCCTGCCCGTTTCTATATTTAGAAGAAACTTTGCGCAAATAACGTGCGTTTGATGCGGCTTCTTGTAGCAACAAAGCCCCCCAAAACGGGGACTTTTAAATTGCACTATCAGTTATATTTCTTGATTAGTTCTGTTTCGCAACGGAGAAAAAATAGCGCTCAGTTAGAAAGTTGCGCCCAAAGGGAAAAAGGGGATTATCTCTATTATCATTTCCTGAAAAGTACCAGCGCTAAGAGGGATAAAATAAATAAGTTAAATCATCCAGAAAACACTCTCCCAGGTTATACTTGATTTAAGTTTTATTGGAATTTAAAACTTTGTTCTTTTCCGCTATGGACACAAACAAGCAACTTCGGCACTAGTATCGATTTTTTGAAGCTTAGTCGTTAATTTTATTTTCATATTGTTGTATACGGTAGCAGTGAAAAAGTTCGTCCATATGAGAAGTGGATTTCTCTCAAGTTTTCATTATTTTTTTAATTTATCACAAAATAAGTGTATTAATTATTAATTAATTAAGAAAAAAAAATGTTTAAAATGTCGACATTCGCAAAGAATGCTTTTTCGTAAGCAGTAAACTGCCGCATTGTCTTAATATTATCGGAAAACCCCCTTCAAGGAATTCCAGCAAATTGGATAATTACGCAAGTCTTGTACGTAGGATTTATTAATGGAAATTTCCCACATTTTGACATACGGGCTTACTTTTGTTAAAACAAAAGTTTGTTTCATAATTATTACTGATGACCATTCGCCGGAGATTTTAAATTCCTATTTTGTGTAACTGAATGGTAATAGGTTAAAACTTTAAAATTCCTTTCATAGAACTTTATAGGATGCTTCTTAAGTAATAAAATATAGTTAGATTTCTTTGCAAAGGCTTCAATTAAATGCTCAAGTTCGTATTTTTGCTTCAATTGTTATTTATGTTTCCAATTGGCAATATAAATGAC